CTCTTCCGAATGTCCGTTTGTGACTGATAGGACCAGCAGGTAGGAGGTACGTAGGTACAATATTCATTACGACCCGTCCATGTGACGTCATCGATGGACACAATGGTCTCTGATATTCGCGTTTTCGATTTATCTATAACCCACTAATGACACCTACCAATGCGAGAGAATATTAAAATAACGTTATGACGTAAATGAGACTTTTCAGAATTCTATTCCAAAGGTAAATAAAGATTCGCCTCTTGCAAAATGAACAAGGAATCATTCATAAGTTTAAAAGACAGGTTTAAAGAAAATAAAGAAAAGATAACAGTATTTTGAACTTTTTACTATTCTTTCTAGTATTTTTAGTCTACTTTTCGGTCCGTTTCCTTCTGACGAGCCTAATTTTTTGGCAAACTTTCACGGGGATGAAAGTGAAGAGATTTCACAGGGTGTTCCGAAATGAAGGATACACAGGCTGATTTTATAATTACCGTAATATGTGTTCCATTTATTAAATTGGAGATATAATACACAAGCGATAGATAACACGTATGTATAATTTATACAATACTTTATACAGATTGTCTCTACCTTTCGCTTAGCAATTTATCTAAATACTGTACAGTAATGTCTGAATATTCGTGTAACTGGGCACGCTATGTACCTGGCTTTCGAGAATATTCTTTTGAGAGATTAGACAGAAATCGTCGCGTCGTCTCGAATCGTTACGAATGCAATCCCCGCTCGTGTCCTCGTCCGATTATACATATTTATACGTGTACATCTACGTTCCTATTTTCTTGCGTTCGTTGGTTTTCATTTAATAGGGAGTACCTAATTAACGGGAGATCCTAAAGCAGCCGACCAGACTTTGAGCGTTTGACATCGATCAGCGCGTGTAAAAAAAGTTTACGCGATTCCGATTGAAACCATACAATCTTGGTCAAAGAATCTCGCGAGATCTTTTTAAGAGAAAATTGTCCACACGACGCGACGGTGGAGACAGCTCGACGAATTAGAAAAGATCTCTGCGGTGGGAGAACTTTGGTCCCGTCCGTTACTCCCTCCAGTCTCAATTTAAATTTGAATATTTACAGGCGTCTCCGAGTTATTAGATTCAACCGTTCATTCTTCTCATTTTGCCGGTTCCCTGCGAGAATATCTACAAAACTATAGTTAATGCAAACAATGGAAAATTCGAGAGTCCGACGGCGTACTTTAGTGTCACCCAGCATACCTATGTATGTGTCTATCAGATTCTTACTAAATATCTTAAATATCACATTCACGTTTATCGTATCTACAGAATATACAAAATCCACTTGGATCCGCTTGTCCGTTGGCTTCTCTCACTGGGACGTAAATAGACAATTCAAGTAGGTGGTGCCGTTTCATAGACAGAATCTATTATATTTGAAATCGAAAAGAAAACGTTATATTCCGAGCAATGATTTGTTTGAAATAGTTTATTCTTTAACTTGCAGAAGTAACAAGGAAGATGCGACTTCATTCTCAACAAGTAAGATAATTTTGTGAGATAATTTTGTGAGATAATTTTGTTCGAGTAGTAATTAGATCTGCATTCTTTTCATCTTTCTCCCTAACGTTGCCTGTCATTCTCGCGCCACCACGCTACGTTTGGTTTATCTCGTTTATTTGAACATTTATATCGATAATTGCTTTTCTGATAGTCAGCGTACATTCACTATACAATACACACGTGCTGTTTACTGTATACGGTGTTTCTCCTCTTACTATAACGAATTACTTGCAGGATTTGGGGAATTTTAAGGCAAGACTGCGAAGCATTTTACGACGCCGTACACAGTTTTCCCTTCCTGTGATTCTCCTAATTCAAGCAAGTCGACGCGAGACTTTTTCCATTCACTCGATTATTTACAAGTCTGACTAGATTTACGAAAACAGGATTCATCGGTACGCATAACATTAAATCAATAATGAACGGGACGCAATGTTCTTTCAATTGAACATTGATTTACAGTACATGATTCGTTGAAGAATACGACGAAAGAGTTGTTCTCTTGTCTTAAAACTATTCGTTGGACATTTTCCATTCTCAGTTTTCGCGGTATGTATCGATATCCTGCAAATCATTTTATCATATACTATTGTGTTTCTTCGAGCTTTATATTATATTCTCATAACTTTTCGTTTGACTTTTCACGTACGAATATCCTGTTAGTACAAATATGTATATACAAGTGACAGTTGGTTTCTTTCTAGAAACATTAACAAAAGAAAAACGTGTTTGGAGCAATCGTTCAAAGACAGATGAATGAAAGGGAAAGGAACCGGAATGTCCCGAGCGTGTTGTGTTATCCAAGCTCATTAAGTTTTCGAATGACTAAGCTCAGTTTTCGATTTCAAATTACCGCGAATCAATCTTTGGCCTTTTTTTACACAGTTATTGTGAATTCTCCACGCAAGAGATCTCGATTCAATAAATTAATCAACGAGTGTGAATGGTAGAACGATTGGTTTGAAAAAATCGCAAACATACATTGTTCGTAGATTGTTGTCCAACCTGGAATTTCATGATCCAACGTCTGCCGCTGCAATAATCGTAAAGAAAATCGCTTGAAACTAAACGCAGCAATTATGAGTACGGTGAATCCTTCTGTTGTGCTCGAAAAAATCGATTTTTACGGTCAAAGAAGGATTTGGAAATACAGAAAAATCGCGTGTACGCACAAGAAAAAGGAAATTTGTTCACCCTTCCACGATTCTCCGCGCCCTGTTCCATTTTTTTAATAGATGTCTACCTAAAGAATGTCCCTTTTCGTTCTTATACTAATGCAGTTTTTTACACGTATTTTTAATGCCTGTACTGTTGCTCGAGCTCCCTTCTGAGCCTCTTCGCGGCAGTCTCACTGTTCCCATCACCCTCCGTGTCGCTGCACCCGTCCTCACCTTCCCCGACGACGCCCTCCACCTCCTCTTGTCTCCTCTTCGCCGTCGCCATCTCGGCCGCGTGCTTTTTCCGCCATTTTGTTCTCCTGTTTTGGAACCACACCTGGAAAAAGGAAATCATCGTTGAGTGATTTACACGGAAATGTTCCCAGCCGAAAGTCAATTTCAACTGTATCCCCCCGATCCCTTGCCCGTCAACGTTGTTCATCCCTTGAACTTGCGCAACCCTACGAGAGATCTGTATGAGATATTCTTCGTTTAATTAAAACCCCCAAGGGAGCTGGAAATGGCTCTGTTTTTATTCTAGCGTCTACACGACACTCTACCGAATGAATTTTGTGAGACAACGTCGATCCGAATATATGTGTCTATCTACATATTCCAGTAATTATCAAATCCTATCGCTGTTTCAACGAGTCCCACCCTTCCCGTTTTTTTTTTATCGGTTCCAGTCACGAAGTGGCCGCGGGATTAACAAAAGTAGAAGCCAAGGGTGGACGGCGCGGCCGTTTTAAAAGAGGAATCGACGTTTCATGTTGAGGCAGCCGCGCACAGAGTCAATCTCTCCAGATTGTCTGGCTTCCTTTCTCTCCGTTATCTTAATTCCTCGAGTGTTTTAATTTTCATCCGAACAGCTATTAACTTTTACGGTGGGCCGGCCGTTTACTTTTTAATTCGTTTACCGCCTCACGCCGGGACGCTTATATCTTTAATTTAAGCTCTTGACTTGGCGGCCATTGAACAAGCCTGCGGATTGGCGAGAAAATAGGGGTGGCAGAGGGGGTGGAGTTTAGTGGGGTCACGCGGCGCTGGCATGGATAGAGGGTGGTTTGTGGGTGCAATCGCTACGCTCGAGTCCCGCGCTCCCCTGACGCCCGTTACGTTAATTAAATACATTGTTGTGGGGACACAGACTCCTGCCGCGTATTTCGAGCTTTATAGATGTACCACCTTAAGTCGCCTTCCTTTCTCATCGAGGTGTATTCGTTAACCGCCTTCTCTCTTCTTCTGTCTCTCGGTCTTTCTCTTCTCCCTTTGCTCCTCCGTGCCACCATTTTGATTCGGTCGAATAATAAGTTCGGTCCAATTTCAAGATTCTACGCGCGACCCTTTATTTTATAAGACACCGGACAGTCGGCTTCTTCCGTGGAAAATGTAAATTGCGATACGGATATAACCTCTTCGAGGCATCCTGCTTGCTTTTTGTATTTTCGAGCGAAACAAACTCACCGAGTACACTTTGGCTTTTCTTTTTCTTGAAAATAATGATATTACCGTTAAAGAACCAGAAGTGTAATATACCGTTGTCTTTGACTGATCTTTGAAATGGTTAGATTTTGTTTCAGGGACGTTAAACGATCGTGATTTAAGGGATTCCATTCCGATGACGGATAAAACCCGACAGAAATCATTCGTTGAAATCTCAGATACGGAGGAGGGACACTGGTTACCGGGTTGTTATCAGAGCCACGAGAAACGAAATGTTTCAAGCTGTCCCGACTTAATAATTCGTCTGCGTGATTTCACCGCACGATATGTTGATCGTGGGTCATCGATCGAGCGTTTTATCGTTCTCCTAATAAAACGGAAGGGACTAAAATGAAAAAGCAAGCAGGAACTAGAACGGCCAAGGGATAAATTTTTATTAGCGGTCCGCGAAGACAGTGACACTCTCGACTCCCCACGATCTCCGATTGAAACTCGTGCCTCGTTCCGTGATCAGAAATTCGAGTTTCATTTACGAGCGGCATTGCTCGATCGCGACTTGATTTTGCAAGGGACGTGGTTTACGGCCGTGCAACAGTTCCGACATCTTTGTCATCGTATTTCCATAGCGGCTGTCCTCCATTAAATGTTCTTTGTTTTCGTTACGACCGGACCTCTGCGCTGTACGGATAGGTAACCGAAGGCGATTAAACGCGCAGGTTTCGGTTCACCGAGCACAACGAGAAAATGTATACGATTGCACCGTGCTTGTTGGTTCGTTACGCAGCAATGTTAATAAAACGGATAGACGATTAATAACAAATTATTCGCGGCAATAATTTATAATCTAACTGAAACGAAATGATTCCACCTCGATCGTAAGAATTGATTTTCGGATAACATTATGGCGGCGCGCTGTTTAACCAGGAATTACCTCTAATTTAATAGACCGTAATGGGGCCAAAACGTGACGCAAGAGTACCCGATAATAACCCATTAAAATCTCTGCACTTTACATGCCCTCAAATAGAACGGTTAACATTAGAACAGCCGATTAAACGGTTGGGTATTAATCGACGGTTTGACCAAAGAAATCCATTCTGTTTCGTTCAATGGTCGCAGAGAACCATTGAATATCACCGCGTAATCAATGTCCAACAATCATTCCCGTTGACGTTTATAATTGAAAAACCACAAAGACAGTTGGTCTACAAAAAAAAAAGAACAAAGGGCTTACTAAGGTCATTGCTCATCGATAGCGCCCCAATGAAATGGTCACAGCTGAGGTGTGTGTGTGTGCGTGCGCGCGGCAAATCCCACTTGGAGGAGAAAAAAAACACGAACGTTTCGTTTAGCGAGGGGTAATACGCGAGGCATTTGGATCGGCATTTTCGGGATTTTTCTCGCGGAGAAATATAGTGGTGAAATGTAAATGCAGAGGAAGATCTTCCGGCGAGTCATTCATCTTGTTTTTGAACGCATTAGTCACGCAGCCGTTGTAAACGCCTGCCCCTCCTCCGGGCTCGTCCCCGGTCTTACCACGCAACTGTTCGATTTATTAAATCAGGATTATCTAAGCCCATTACTTTGTCCTGTAAAGCTAGATACAAAACCGCATTTATAACTGCGCAAAGCCCTTACCGCGGCACGGTGTGTCGATCTCTCTCCCTGACGGGCGCGTCTCTCTTTCCGCCACCCTCTATTTCACTCTGTCTTCCTCTCTCTTTCGTTCACCCCCTCCCCCCCTACCAACACTCCCTAGGTCGTAACAGATAATACCGACAGTATCTGATCTCGTTGATATTGGCGGATAATTTACTATGCGGAAGATTACAGGCGTGACTCACATCTTGATACGCGATTCGAATCGAGAAAATTTGCATCGACACGCGTTACTTTGTGATCGCGTGGCTTCAATAAGCCCGGACATTTAGAATCGTACACGCGATGCCATCGATAAGTTGGAGAGGGTTGTAATTGTTCTAAACAAGGGTGTGTAGGGGGGGACTCGACGTAGATGACTACGGTAGTATTTACGGAATAATAAGCAGAACGACAACTTAACGATCAACCCGACCGATTTAATAGTAAAAGTTTCCGGAATGAAAACCGTCAGAGTAATAAATGAAATAAAACTTTAATTTCAGCGTTTCCCGTTCGGTTGTTATCTCCGAACGTCTCTAATAGAACGCTTCCTCTCATTTCCTGATTTCCCTTTCAATTCAGATTTTCCACCCTGTCAAATTTCCCTGGCAGCTTTCATCGGGTATTCTCGTCCGAGATCAACTTTTACTTTTCCCTTTCTTATCCCATTGCCTTCCTCTTCCATTATTCCGCTCTGCTGCGTGTCCACTTTTCTCTCTGTCAATAAAACCTACCGCCATTCCGGCGGGAGAAAAACGGGCAGAAAGATGTAATCGAACTCGATGATTAAAATAAAAGCTGATTCCGTGTGGAGTATTAACAACGCGTCGAATGTTCACGTTCCTGTTCGCTGCTAATTAATCTCGAAACGTTATTCAACGAATACGATCAGAAACCGTTTAAACGCGTTCGAGGCGGTCGAAGTGTAATTCGATTCCGGGTATTCTATAAATTTACCGAGCAATCGAATCCACCGTAATAAACCAACTGCATCGAGTTTTTATCGGGTTTCGGCATATCATTCGAAACTACCGGATAAATTTATCGAGAGGTGGATCAATGAGGCCTTAATGAGATATATTACCAAATGAGAGTGTTTATATCGAATGCGGTCGGCCTGCGGTCACGGCTGGCTAAGCACCAATCATGCCCGATGCAGATGCAAAACGTACCCGAAATTATCGTCATTTACTTCACCGAAATAAATAATCATATGTTTATCAATAATATCGTTCTACCAATCAATGTTCTATCACCATCACAGTCTGTTTTTATGTTAGGTACATTTCCTCGAATCGCATGTACGTTCGAAGGAAATCTTATTCCACTGTTTTGTTTTATGCGTCCTCTCAATACTGCGTTTACCGCATCATAATCAGTTTGAAATCCTCCGGATGCACGGACAGACGGAGTAATCGGTTCAAAAGGCATAACGCTAGTTGGCACGCGAAAGCTTTCGCTCGCCCAAGATTAATGCTATTCAAAGGTTCCGGGAGTGTCTCTCGTAATGGATTCAGAATCGTGTCAGACGATATTCCGCCCGGGGAACACGCGATACCGGAAAAATGAAATTCAGCCGGGTGGCGGCGGTGTGGATCGGTGAGCGCGATGGTTAATGATGCGTGGAAAGTCGTGTATGACATTCACTGGGACGCCTCGCGCGTCATTGAGCCCGCTTATCATTCAAATGGAACCGTTTTATTGACACGTCGATAAATTTTTAAGCATGGTAGCGCGTATTCGGGTACGCGGAAAACGCCGTCAACGAAATTTAAAACGCGGCACACCTACGTCGCGAAACATCCTAGTCGCGTCCTACCACGGTTCTGTACGATCTACTGTTCACAGTCCTCGAGTAGTATCGTCCGTTTTGGTTCCGGTTTGAAGCGTCCTGTATACGTTCAGTAATTGTCCCCAATGGAATACAATAGAAACGACAGAAAGGAGTATCGTAGGACAACGCTTGCACAGACACGTCCGCAAACAAGCAGTTTCACACCGAGAGTTCGTGTTGAACGCTGTCAACAACGAAATCTATGCTGATCGTCAATTTCGCGTACGCAAATAGCAGGTTTGCTCAAACACGAAACATTGTAACGCGCAGCGTAGGTACATCCACGTTTCTGTCTGGGCAACGAATACAGGCGTTGGTCGAAGCTTCGATCTGGTCACCGATTGTAACTGCGATATTTATCGTGTTTCGTGCATCGATCGATAAACAAGGTCGGCAGGACCCGATCACAATTTTATAAA